ATATATATATATATATATATATATATATATATATATATATATATAGGCTTGCTAAACTGTGCCTGCGCGCATGGTGTTCTATCCTACGCTCCGGCCACTTCAAGCCTACCAGCCAGTACGCGTTAAGTAGCCCTAGTTAACCAGGCGGAAGGGCGCGCACAATGTGGGGAAAATCGAACGTAACGTCTTACGACCGAAACTGCTCCACGTTGCTAACTTCCTTCGTGAAAAAAGAATAGTAGTAACAGGTTACCATGCGCTAATTAACAGAGCCATCCCTCGCATGCCTACATTTCACTTCATCGTGATTGTCCAAACATCGTAAAAAGGCCTAGCCCAACTGTTAATTCCTACCATCAGTAATCAGGCATATAGGATCTAGTAAAGATGTTACTATCAGTATTATGGCACTAGTAAATGGCCCTTATTAAGTTGTAACAGATTACCATCATGGTTACATTTTGTACCCACGTCCCCATGATTGTAGTAATACATTACTACATATATCAGCCTGGATCAAAGCATCTTTGACTTTTTTGTTCATTTTTTTTTTGCATTATCATCCACAATGAGCATCTAGTAATGTGTTACTGCACGTCTCAAGAAGGTTTTACTACGATTAGGGATGAAACCATAGATATCTCCCATCCCGGTAAAAAATTAGGTCCATTACCATCTATAGTTAATCTATTACTAGCAATGAATAGTTACCCAAATTCAGAACGTGGCGGAGCAACACATGGTAACAGAATTAAATGTGTTACTTTCTTTTGCACATACCGTTACCCTCAAACATTCTTGCTATGGAGACGCGACCCGCACGCCTGATTAGGAGCGGCCGGAGCGCAGGCTAAGCAACAATGCGCGCACGCTCACAATAGCGCAGCCATATATATATATATATATATATATATATATATATATATATATATATATATATATATATATATATATATATATATATATATATATATATATATGTCAGATAAAAAGATACATTGTACATTGCCAGGGAGAGAAATCAACTCTAGATGCCTACAACATTTGTCATACATTCAACTCCAAAGTTGCAGACTTGACATTTAGTGTAACAAGACTTGTCATAT